CGATGTCCTACGAGATGTCAATTGTCAGGCTATGCATCAGCATCTAGTAGCATCATACCAGTTGACGAGATAGTCTGCCAGTTCATCCTCCGTATGCCATTTTGCTAGCGGCGCTCCAGCAGTCGCAATGGCCGCCAGGGCAAAGCACTGGCGTGGTATACCTGAGGTCCGAGGGTCAAGTACTGGCGCAGGGAAAACTTTTTAATTTTATTTTAATTATATCCATATGTATATATAACCACCTCCAAGCGGACTTGAACCTGCGATCTCAAAACCAGAGCCGGTAGTCTTCATGCGACGCCAAAGCCGACATTTGTACGAAAAGCATATGTGACACGTAAAGTTAAAAGGGACCTATGGTCAGAAAAATCGGTTTTCACTTATTCATCGACTCTTATAGTAAACGGGCCACTCTTTCGAATGCAATAAACCGCAGCTTTCTAGCTGCATTAGTTTTTTTCACAATTTCACTTCAAAGTTAGGTACTTTCACAAAAAAGAGTACAAAAAAAACAAATCTGACCAACTATTCAGAATGACATGAATCCGAACAAATTTTAAATTTTGTCCGCCATATTGGATCCGCCATTTTGAATTTTTAAAAACGAACATCGGATTCGCAATCAGCGACACAAAAACCCCGGGTAACGAGTTTCGAGTGATTCCGATCAATTTTTAAAAAATTCATCCGCCATATTGGATCCGCCATTTTGAATTTCGGAAAACTAACATCGGCTTCGTAAGCAGCGACCCCGAAAACCCCCGAGTAACGATTTTCAATCCATTAAAAGGTTCAGAAGCATCAAAATCAACTTGGTAAACTTCAAAGTCGTTTTTTTCGAAATATTTTTTTCTGAGCGTAGGTCCCTTTTGACTTTACGTGTCACATATAATTGCGTTTTATTTGTATATTAATTAAGCTCAAGGCATTTTATTTTTATCTTTGGCAATTCAAAGGCAGATGTCGCTGAACGCTTAAGTTCGCCGAAATCGCTTTAGCACATACTAGTTAATGAACTGGTATTTTTGCTGATTGGTTTGGCTTTTCACTGCAGGGCTATTACATATTTAGGTACTCATTTCTGTATGAGCATACGTACATCACGATGTATGCACATATCTACGTACATAAAAAACTACATAAGTGTGTTGGTAAATCATTTTCTTATTTGGCATTCAAATGAAATTTTATCCACTTGTCTATGATCAATTGTCATTAAAAGTGTTTTGACTTTAAATTTAGGTATTTTTGCATTCAACCATGTGCATGTGCGTATGTATGTAAAAATAGTATACATACATATGCACATACTGTAAGTTTTCATGTGTAAAGAGCGAAATACACCACACAAGCGGCCTGTTAAACATCCCTGTGGGGAAAATCTCTAGTTTTGAACTGGTGCGCTCCTAGTACATTTAGAACCACTAGTTCACGATAAATCTCTTTTGCATGCAAGCAACTGGCGAATTTAACACAGCGATGTCATATGAATTGGAAATTGTCCCCCGCTGCATTACCTTTTCTATAGTTCAGAACCAGTCCTAAATTCGACATATGGGATCTAGTTCGCTTTGCACCCCATTTTTTATAGTTTCGAACCAGTTGTAAACGAAAAAAGTAACAAGATGTTTTCTTTTTGGGTTACCATGGTAGCAATTTTTATTATTTGCAGAGAAATGTATTTTCAATTTGAAATCAAATTTGTTTGAATGAATGTAAATTAAATTGTGTATTTGAAAACACGTTTACATACCTTTGGCTGTAGCTGAATTTGCAGAGGTGCTGACTGTTATGGGGTATATTCCAGAAGGCCCCATAATCTTAAGATGTTAACACAAATATTAGTTTTGTATTACCAAACTATGAAAAAGCATCTGCGACGTGCAGACTGGAAGCGTATTTGAACGAAAAACCCGCCAAGCAAAAATCTATTTAAAGTAACAAGCCCCCGCTTTTTCAGTAGTTTCGAACTAGTTCAAAATTCGCCAAATGAGGTCTAGTTCGTTGTGCGTCCCTTTTTCTATAGTTTTGAACCAGTTCTAAATTCGTTATTTTAGATATAGATTTCTAAAATTGTTTTTTAAAAGTACCACATATCGCTGCTTTTGAACTGGTGGCGATCTAGTTACTATCGGACTGGTTCGTTTTTGGCGATAAAGATCTAGTACGGGAATACAAATTTGGTTCACCAGTTCGGGGTTTCCCTACAGAGATATGTATGTACTTCAAACTTACTTTACCCATTTCGCCATACATCATGCAAACATGACCCCTTCCAGCGAATATCTTTAGTTTTCTTTCGGTTCACAATGTAAAAAATTTTGGGTTTCCTCCATTTATCTCTCTTACGTCCTCACTCGTTGAAAATTCTATTGCAAATGAGGCGATTTTACCATACAAAACGCAAGCCGTTTGATCAAATATCAACATGGCGGCCAGAAAATTAGTTTATTCATTATTTTAATAATTTTTCATTAGTACAATGAGACTTCTTCTATAGTACAATTTTCAATATATTTAGTAAATTCACAAGACGTGTTAACCGTCGTAAAATCTTAAACTTAACATTTTTATACCCGAGCGCACTTGTGCACAAGGGTATATTAATTTTGTTCACATAACGGTTGTTTGTAACAGCCGAAACGGGTCGTCATAGATATATACAAATGTATACATAAATGCTCAGAATGAATAGAGAAGTCGATTAAGCCATGTCTGTCTGTCCGTCCGTCTGTCTGTCTGTCCGTCCGTCCGTGTACACGATAACTCAAGCAAAAGTTGAGATATCTCAACGAAATTTGGTATGTAGGTGTGTTATGTTCAAGCTTACTTTTGGAAAGAACTTTATTTTATATATTCAATATAGGGATGTGTTTTACAAAGTTCAGTAATAGTACAAAGTAATCGATTATTAGTAAAGGTTAATGCTAACGTTGTGTTTACACCACAGTAATCTTACAACATCACTCTTTCCTAGAAAGCTATGTGTATGGCTTAACATTAAAATTAATTCATGTAGTATAAAAGGCTTTTTGAATTATACAGCAAATATAAATTTAGATCATAAAGCGAAAATTTGAGTTTAATACAAAATGTAATGAGTTATACAGCAAATATAAATTTAGATTATAAAACGAAAAGTTTGAATTTATATACATAAGTATTAAATATTTAATCGGGTTGGGGGTACAATCTTTCTTCCACTCCTCGTTCTAACAGCGGAAGCATTATCAGTTAATTCTATCGTGGTGCCTTCAAGAGGCTGTGAATCAAAAGCGGTGGTTTCTTTATCTCCCCCATTAGCGTAACCGTCCCCAATACTCCGTTTCAGTACCGGCTTTAATATGTGCTCTCGGTTTCTTCTGTAGACCACACCCTCAGGGTCTTGAACCATGAATGACCTTGGCTCCTTTAAATCTTTTATTATTGTACCCGGGCACCAAACTGATGTTGGTGTTTTCTTAAAATAAATTTTCTCTCCCGGATTTACTGGTTTCAAATTTTTTGCGGACGTATTATAATTTTGTGACATTTTAATCTTTTGTTTGTTTATTTGTCGTCTATACTCATTAACATCAACTAATTTTGATTTTAAATTTTCTTGTTGTGATGGCAATTTGGTTCTCAGCTTTCTCGACATCAGTAACTCGGATGGACTTGGAAGATCGTCTTTGGGTGTTGTTCTATAATGCAGAAGCGCAGTATATGGGTCTGTTCCTTTTTCTTTGCATTTGTACAACATTGTTTTGATTGTCTGAACAGATCTTTCTGCTAAACCATTTGATCTTGGCATATAAGGACTGGAAGTAATGTGTTCAATACACCAATCTGCGCAAAACTGTGCAAAGTCTTTTGAACTGAAAGGCGGGCCATTATCCGTTATGAACATAGCCGGTATTCCCTGTCTGGCAAAAATTGACTTGAGTTTCATTATAACCTGGGTGCTGGAATACCCCGTACTTAAAATTTCACATTCAATGAACTTTGAGTAGTAGTCAACAACTAACAAGTAAGTCTTTTTATCAAATTCGAACAAGTCAGCACCCAGCTTGTACCAAGGAATGTTGACCATTTCATGGCACAACAACTTTTGTTTAGGATTAGATTTACGAAATTTTAGACAAATTTCGCAACTGGAGACTACATTGTGGAGGTCATTATTGATATTAGGCCAGTACACAGAGTTTCTAGCCAAATTCTGGCATCTCTGTATACCCATATGTCCCTCATGTAAGTAATACAAAATTTTCGGTCTAAGATTTTTTGGTACAACAACTCTGTTATTTTTTAGCAATAGCCCATCTATCTCAACAAGCTCATCTTTAACTTGATAATAAGGCATCAATTCTTTATCAATTCGCTTTTTATTTGCGGGCCATCCATTCTTCGTAAAATACAAGAGTTTTTGAAAAATTGTATCTGTTTTTGCTGCCTCTCTAAACTCATCTAAGTGACTACTTGGCAAAGCAATTTGCGAAATAATTAAATTACAGTGAATATCAATATCTTTGTCCACTTCCGTCAGTGCATAATCTTTAAGTGGCGCTCTGGATAACGTGTCGGCAATAAACAAGTCCTTTCCGGGCTTGTAAACGACAGTAATGTTGTACGCTAATAATCTGAGCATGAATCTTTGCAGTCGCGCGGGAATCTTATACAAAGGTTTGTTGACAAGTGTAACCAACGGCTTATGGTCCGTTTCTACAAGGACATGACGTTCATAAACATACTGATGGAAGCGTGTACATCCGTATAGGATAGCATAGAGCTCTTTTTCGATCTGGGCATAATTTGTTTGTGTTTCAGTTAGTGAAGCAGATGCATAGGCAACAGGGTTCCTGTCATGCATAATGACTGCTCCAACAGCATATTTGGATGCATCGACTGACATGACTAATTGTTTTTTAGGATTAAAGTAGGTCAAAACCGGTACATTTGTAATTTCTTTAAGTAAATTTTGAAATTCTTCCTCTTGTTTATTGTCCCAATGCCATACTACATCATTCTTTAAAAGGTCTCGTAAATATTTCGTTTTTTGCTGACAGACTATCAATAAAACAACCCAAGTAGTTAATCATTCCCAAAAAGCGCTGTAATTCTTTTACATTTTTTGGTACCGGCATCTCAACTATAGATTTAATTTTCTCTTCATCTGGCTTAACGCCTTTTTCACTAAATATGTGTCCAACGAATTTGACTTCCTTCTTTAAAAATTTCGATTTTGATTTATTGAACCTTAGCCCAACACTTTGTGCCCTTTCCAAAACTGACTCTAAAATGGCATTATGTTTTTGAACGTTCGGAGCATGGATCAAAAAATCATCCATATATATTATTAGACCATTAATGTGGCCGAATAGTCTAATCATTTCTGAATGAAAAATTTCCGGCGCTGCATTGATACCAAACGGTAATCTCAGAAATCGGTAACGCCCAAAAGGCGTGTTAAATGTACATAACTTTGATGATTCTATATCTAATGGTATCATCCAGAAACCTGAGTTAGCATCTAATGTGCTGAATATTTTAGAACCTGCCATTTGCGACTTACATTCATCGATGTTCGGAAAGGAAAATCTTGGTCTGACTATAGCCTTGTTTAAATTTTTAGGGTCCAAACACACACGTAAATCTCCGTTGGGCTTAGCCACTAAAACTATTGAGTTGACCCATTCGGTCGGTTCACTAACTGGCTCTATAACCTTTAACTTCATCATACTGGACAGCTCCCTTTTTAGTGGCTCAAAAAGTCCAAATGGAACTCTGCGTGGTGCATCTACTACTGGTTGATAGTTTTCCTTTAATTTCAAATGACACTCACTTTCCAACTGCCCTAATCCTTTAAAAACTTCTTCATATTTTTGTAACAGGCTCTCGCAGCCTTTTGATTCACAGCTTATTGTAGTCACCATTTTTACCAAATTCATTTTAATAGCCAATTCAAGACCGATCACATTTTTACATTTCATATTAAGGACATAAAATTCAGCAGAATAACTTACTTTTTTATACAACAATTTTACATTGACTTTTCCTAGTAGAGGTAATCTTTCCCCGCTGAATGTTAAAATATTATGACATATCTTACTTTCTAGCTTACCGATATTTAATTTATTAAAGTTTTCGATCGATAGTAAGTTCGCCTGGGCCCCCGTGTCTATTTGACACTTCAGCTTCGCATTGTGTATCTCCACCTCAATGTTCCAGTCTTTCACCGCACCAGTTCTGCCACTGCTAACAATTTTACTCACTCCTATCACATTCGTTTTTGTTGTTAAGTTTTTGTTCCTGACAGTTTCAACATGTATTCCGCCCACGAAAAATTGCGACTCGTGATCTTCATTTTCTTCCTCTTCTGCACTTGTCTCGCTCTCTTCGTATACGTTTCTCACATATCTCTTTTGCCCGTTATTCCCCATGTTTCCTTTACGCCATTTTGTAAAGCAGACATTTGCAAAATGGTTCAATTTTCCGCACGTGTAGCATTTTTTACCTTCTGCCGGACATTTGGTTTTATGTACTTGCCCACATTTATCACACGTTCTTGATGTTTGCTGCTGAGCCTGTCTAGCACTCTTCTCCTTGTAGTTCAATGCAGATTTTCTGAAAGCTGCTACCTGTATGCTTTCGGTTGGCTCACGTTGTATCATGGCTGCATTTTCTTTTGCTAGTTCCATGCTATTAGCTATTTCAATCGCTTTATGCAATTTTATGTTGCCTTCGCTTAAGAGCCTCTCCTTTATTTTATTGTATTTTTGTGATAAACCGCATATAAAAATGTCCCTTACCAGATCTTCACGTATATCCCCGAATTCACAAGTTTTGCTAAGATTTTGCAATGCGGCAGCGTACTGACTTATTGTCTCTTCCGAGGATTGACGTTTTGTAAAAAACCTGTGGCGCTCTATTACTATATTGACTTTTGGAGTGAAATACATTTCCATTTTGCTCCATAAGTCGTCATATTGGACGCTGTCTATATCGACATTAAACGAAGTGAAAATGTTTAGACATTCTGCACCCAGATGGTGCAAGAGAAGTGCAACTTTTCTTTGCTCGGTTTGATTATCTAAAGCAGATGCACGCAGAAATATTTTGAACTGCGTACTCCAAGCCTTCCATTCCGCCGCCAGATTTGACGCTCTTATGTTCAAAGGTGCTATGGTAGTAGCAATAGATAGCACTCGATGTGCCTCTGACATGGTAGCGTTGCCTTCATCTACCATTTTTAATTTTTTATACACGTAGTATATACTATTTATATTTAATAGCTTAGCTTTGGTTGCGCGTTTTTAGCTTTTGAGTTATTTCGTTGTGCAACTATTTTAATTGACCCCACCTGACGCCATGTGTTATGTTCAAGCTTACTTTTGGAAAGAACTTTATTTTATATATTCAATATAGGGATGTGTTTTACAAAGTTCAGTAATAGTACAAAGTAATCGATTATTAGTAAAGGTTAATGCTAACGTTGTGTTTACACCACAGTAATCTTACAACAGTAGGTTTCCATTAATCCAAGGTAGGTTGGTATTGAAAATAGGCGAAATCGGACTGTAACCACGCCCACTTCCCATATAACGGTAATTTCCAGAAATACGAAAACTGCGATATTTTAGTAACTACTGAAGATAATTCACTCAAAATTGATATTTACAACAATTTTCAGACGAAAAATAAGAATATGATACATTTTTGGAAAATGTGCGTGGGCGTGGTTATTGTTCGATTTTTTTAATTTTCGGCCGTTTGGTATGCTGTACTAAGGCCCAACGACTGTGCCAAGTTTGGAAGAAATTGGTGCAGCGGTTACCAAGTGTACACGTGGAACCATAAGTGGGCGTGGCTACGCCCTTTTTCCACAAATTTATAATATTCTAATTATTGTTGTAAATATAAATTTTGAGTGAATAATCTTCAGTAGTTACTAAAATATCGCAGTTTTCGTATTTCCGAAAATTACCGTTATATGGGATGTGGGCGTGGTTATTGTCCGATTTTCTAAATTTTCGGCCATTTAGTATGCTGTATCAAGGCCAACAACTGCGCCAAGTTTAGAAGAAATCGGTGCAGCGTTTACCAAGATATTCACATTTAACCATAAGTGGGCGTAGCTACGCCCATTTTCCAAAAATGTATAATATTCTTATTTTTCTTACCTACCAAATTTCGTTGAGATATCTCAATTTTTGCTCGAGTTATCGTGTACACGGACGGACGGACAGACGGACAGACAGACATGGCTTAGTCGATTTCTCTATTCATTCTGAGCATTTATGTATGCATTTGTCTATATCTATCTCGATTCGTTTTGGCTGTTACAAACAACCGTTATGTGAACAAAATTAATATACCCTTGTGCATAAGTGCGCTCGGGTATAAATATCAGTTGATTGCATGCAAAAAAGATAGTTGGCTGACTAGTTGGGCATGCGGTTCATACTAGTTGTGAGGTAGTTTCCAACTAGTACATTTGACTACAGGGATATTTTACGACGTTTAATGTCGGCGATCTTGTGAATCGCCTAATTACAAATTAAGTAAGAACTAACTAAATCCTCAATCAATTACAATAATAATAATAATAATAATAGATTGGCGCTTACACATATGTTAGTGTTTGGGCGAGCTTCTCCTCCGATGTGTGGCGTGCGCCTTGATGTTGTCACACAAAGCGGAGGGACCTACAGTTTTACGCCGACTCCGAACGGCGATTGTATTTTTATGAGAAGCTGTTTTTCATGGCAGAATTACACTCGGAGGTTTTGCCATTGCCTGCCGAGGGACGACCGCTGTTAAGTAAAATCCTTTTTTCTATATTTTTGCGATGTTGCTTTGACCAGGGTTTGAACCCACGCGTTGCGGAGTGAAAGCGGGCACTGCTTACCACTACACCACAGCGGCCGACAATCAATTACAAGAACAAAGACAAAAACAAAGTTTAGTTAAACTCAGCGCTAAAGTAGATGCCCAGGGAAAGCTATTCTGAAAATAGTTATATAGGAGATGCCTATAGTTGCTCTGGTTTACAATATATCTCGTAGCAGCTGGAATGGAAATCCAAACACGTATGACGTTTAAATTAACACAAAGATTTTGAAGTTTTGTTCAAATTTACGCAGGCATCTTGTCAAACCTTCAAACACCCACATATACGACACAAATGGCTTGAGGCAATGGGATATTTCGCTTGGTTTGTCAAGCCGCTTTTGTGGTGTATTTTGCTCTTAAGTATAAGTACTTCAAACTGTTTATTTGTCTAAAATCACACGTACTTACTGTATGTAGAACTATGACCATATACACATATAGTGATCAACTTAAAAAAAAATGATTGGATTTGTTTGAAACTCGGATCCGCCATTTTGAATTTTGAAAATTTACATCAGATTCGTAATCAGAAACCCCAGAAACCAACTGGTAATGAGTTCCAACCCATGACAAGGCTTAAAACGTTCAGTATCAACGTTTTAATTTTAGTAATTTTTTAAGAATTTGATAGCCATATTGGATCCGCCATTTTGAATTTAAACAAATTACCTCAGATTCGTAATCAGCGACCCAAAAAACTCCCAAGTAACGAGTTTCGAACAAATCCAATCAGTTTTTTTAATTTATCGCCATTTTGGATCCCCCATTTTGAATTTTGAAAAACTGACTTCAGATTCCTAATTAGCAAAGCCCTTGTAACAAGTTCCAACCCATGACAATGGGTTAATCGTCCAGTATCAACGTTTTAATCTTATTAGTATCTTTTTGAAAGCATATTTTCGGGCACTAGTCCCATTCTAACTGTCCAAGCCAGGTATTTCATTACGGGAATATTCCCGAATAATACAGAGTAATTACATATAAAAACATTATTTTTAGCTTCATTTTAACATGTCACGAAAAAAAATTAGAACATCAGCGTTTTTATAAAAAACTGATCAGCGCAACCTCTAAAAACCTTTTTTTATCACAAATAACAATAATATGGGGTAGCGTTTATGAATTAAAAAATAAAAAATTAACCACTCACATGGATAAGAAATAATGTCCATGGGCGTTATTTCCCCTGCGCCTTATTACACGTCACCGTAAAGCTTGCATGATTTTTAACATTTCTGACATTAATTCACTTTTCAATTCTGTACTAATGTCAATGACATTACATATTTCCACAATTCTTCTGATATCACCGAAATCGTAATTACAACAACAGATTTTTTAAAATAATAGCTACAGAAAATACCGTCTAGCAATGTCTTCAAAGAAAACCCGTTTTTTCGCACTACTGAAAAATTTGAATGCAGTAAGGTAGGCGGTTTTGCAACTGATCGATGGGCGGGTTTGCAAGAACATCGACGATTTGTTTCTTGAAATCATTTTTTAGCAAATTCTTTTATGTTTGGCAATTTAAAGGCTTTATTTCTTTTTTTTATAACAAACGCTCCCTTGATTATCCGGACTGGCCGAGAAAATTGCGCTTTAGAAAGTTTATTAATTTTATGATTCGTAGAATGGTTGCGATTTTGTTCGAAATGTACCATTTTTTATATTTTTTCCAGTTTGGTACATCACATGCAGCAAAATCTAAGGCCATGGCAAGAAGATATTCTTGGTGTAATAGGGTTGTGTTTTCCTCCTGCCCGGAGTTTCCAAAGAGTCCCGGATTTTTCCGAAAATTAAGTTCGAAGTTAAAAATTATAATATTTTGTTCAGTTGATAAATTTGATTATGTAATATTCACATTTCCATGTGAAAGCGCGTTTTTAGTGCACATGCAAATCTAGTATTTTCATTCCCATGCTTGGAATAACCTGGGAAAGTCGTAATGAGCCTACAAGTATGTATTTCAAATATAAATAATTACAAGTAATTTTTAGCAAAAAAAAATCGACTTAAAAAAAAAATATATATATCTATATATTTCATGATCCAATGATCGGATCTAAACCAAATTAGTATGGGACCACCTATGAGACACTACCTTTTCGTTGCAAAAAAAAAATTATTGAAATCGGTTGACGTGGTGCAAAGTTATGCGGTATGCCTCATAGGTGGTCCCATACTAATCTGGTTAAGACCCGATCAGTGGATCATGAGATATATACATATATTTTTTTTTATATGACAGTTGAAATCGGTTTTTTTGCTAAAAATTACTTGTTACTTTCTCTTTTCTTGGAACATTTTGGCTCTTTTTACACTTTAGAATATATATTTAGTTGCTGGACATTCTTTTCCATTGTGTTTATTCTTTATATACACACACACGAAAATTGAGATCGGAACATTACCTGCAATTGGAGATTGAAAATTGGCTTTCTGACTTAATGTTCTTTACCGATATGATGGAAAATTTGCAAGACTTGAATTTGTCTCTACAAGGAGAGAATAAAAATGTTTTTGATTTGGCGCAAATTATTTTAAGTTTTGAAGCTCAACTACGTAATAAAAAAAATAAATGTAAAATATTGCACATGATTTAAAACCACATTTTGAAAAAAGATTTGCCGATTTGAAATTATTTAAATGTACGTTTGCATACTTCAGAAACCTTTTTTAACCGACTTCCAAAAAAGGAGGAGGTTATCAGTTCGTCGGAATATTTTTTTTTTTTTTAATGTATGTTACCGCATAACTTTGGACCACGTCAACCGATAATTCTTTTTGCTTCGGAAAGGTAGTGTCTCAGAGGTGGTCCCATACTAATCTGGTTAAGATCCGATCAGCGGATCATGAGATATATATATATATATATTTTTTTTTTATATGAGAGTTGAAGTCGGTTTTTTTTTGCTAAAAATTACTTGTTTATGTAACATAATTGAGGATGAATTTACAATATCCGAATAATCCTTTTTAAGACAAGCGAAGAAGAGTTGGAGTTTTTGGAATTAAAAAAGATAAGGCACTGGAAATGCAACATGAAGCTTTACCATTGCCTTGAATTCCGGCAACAGGTACAAGATTTAAAATATCCGCTGTTGAAAACAGCTGCGTGCCGTATATTTTAAATTGTTGGTACAACGTATAACTGTGAGTCTTTGTACCTGCTCTACGATGAAATTTGTAAAGTCAAAATAACGTTCACAATTGCATTCGTGTACCTGATAATTATTGAAAGTTATAAAAACTATCAGCTTTTCGAGTTCGCGTACGCAAAACACTTGCAAAATAGGGAAAATTGAAAGAGCAAAATGACATTTCATTTTGAGGGAAAGCTGCTAGTTTCTGCTGG